AGAGGCTGCGGGCAGCTTTGCAGCCCAGCGCTCAACCGCTGCACCACCAGGGGAGGCCCATGTGTGGAGATTTCTTGACCTACTAAACATAGAGCTTCCATATGATCCAGCAATTCCACTCCTAGGTATTTACCCAAAGGACACAGAAACATGAATCCCAAAGAGCACCTGCACCCCTATGTTTATAGCAGCACTGTTTACAATAGCTAAGCTTTGGAAACAACCCAAATGCCCAAAAATAGATGACTGGATCAAGAAGATATGGTACATATACACCATGGAATATTACTCAGCATTCAAAAAAGATAAACACATGCAATTTGCAGCAACATGGATGGAGCTGGAAGGGATCATGCTCAGCGAAATAAGCCAGAAAGAAAAAGAAAAATACCGGATGGTCTCACTCATAGAAGGAATCTAGAAAACTTAAATAAGGGACCAGGAAAAAGAATAACTATAAGAAAGTAAAAATCAAAATCAACAAACAACTATGAACCAGAGACACTCTAAGGGGGGCGGGGGGCAGGGAGGGGAAGGACTGGGGTCAAAATAAGGGGATTGCAATTGTATGGGGAATATAAAAATAAAATTTATAATAATAATAATAAAAAGAAATCCAGATGCTTAAGAATACGGTGGAATTAAAAGACTTTAAAGAACAAATATAAATTATTATATAAAGGGTACAGGAAAATGGAGTGGTGGGAGGGTTACTCAATGCTAGATGAAGTTTTTTCTCTCCAAGTTTTCCCAAGACTGGTATATTTGGAAAGTCATTTTGGGAGTCTGGGAAAGAGTAGCTAAGGAGATAATTGCGTGTATGTAAAGCACACAAGAGGAAGATTTATTTATTCATTCATGCTCATACTTCCATTCAATGAAATTCATCAGTGTCCAGGTGAAAAGCTGAGAATATGCTGATGAAAAAATTACAGAAGAATTTCTGCAGGATGCCCTACTATGGAAAACTAAAAAAAAAAAAAAAAAGCTTGGCAACTAGATGAAGTGCAAAAATCCTATGACATATGCAGTCAGGGTTGGTAGGAGACTCTTAGGAAGGGCACTCATCCAGCATTGAATGGTCACAGAAAAGTATCAGAGACTGAGTCTGAAGGATAAACAGATATCAGTAGTAGGAGGGCAAGCAAAGCCTCCCCTACCATGAGCAAATGTGTTCAAAGGCTTAGGTATAGAAAAACAAGTCATTGGCATGGCTGGAAACTAGCATGGGAGGAAAAATGGCAAAAGATAAGACTGGACACTTGTGTGATGGGACATTGTTCATAAAGGCTCCTGTGGACCATGCTGTGGGGCCAGGCCTGTGCACAGCAGCCGTGGATCATGCCCACTCACTCCTGGCAAACACTCCCTACTGAGAGGGAACGGCAGCTGCAGCCTTTATATTGAGTTCAAGTTTTAGACTAGTACAGTGGTTTAGTTTTTGACACACTGTATGTCATTGTGAAGTTCTAAAATATCCTATTAACATGTCCTGAATGAGCCAAAAGAGTTGAACTAGGTTCAGAGGTGAACTTGAACCCTAACTTAGGTGCTATTAATAAACAAACAGACACAATTCTCTCTGTATATTGAAGGTTTTTATTAGGTCCCACCAAAGTAAGTTCTTATGTTGCTTCAGTAAAGAACTTCAAAACATTTTCCCTGAAATGAGGAAATGCCAGAGATAAAAGCTAGTTCAGATTTGGCCAAGCAACACATATTAATCCTATGGCTTGTGAGCAATGATCTCACTATAAAATATAACAATAATTCATCTCAGGGAATTATCTTTCAGCAGAAAGTCAAAACTGCACATGTTCTCCATAAGCAGTTTTTGAAACTTTTGAAACGGGGTCAGAGGAAGAAAAGAAAAAAGTTAAAATGAAGAAAAGAAAGAAGGAGATAGAGGACAGAAAAGGAAGACTAAAGGGAGGCAGGAGAGGAGGCAGGGAAGTCTTATAGGCATGTATTAACTCTTGCTGAGTTTGGGGCTTGAGTTCAAATGAGTGTTTTTGGTGATGCTGTTACAGGACAGGGAGAACAAACACACTAGAGAAACCAAAAATCACATTTGCGTAGCCAGTGCCATAGGGAAGCCCAATTTCCCCATGGGACTGACTAACCACGGATGGCTCTGTCCTAAATCACGTTGGGCACCAAATCTGTTACAGGGAGAGGGGCACCCCAGACCCCGCAAACCTGCCTGCTCTAAATAGGTTCTGCCATCCGCCCCATTAACACAAAACATGAGACTTTAATGGGAAGGAACTTTAATACAGTTAGGAAACAATACAGGAGAGGCAAAGAATCTAGTTTCTAAATCAAGCACCCAAAGTTACCCATCCCCTTGTGGGTAAAACTCCATCCAAATGGGATTGGCCCAGAGCAAGGCCCCAAAGCCTGACACAAGTCTAAAGCATCTTCCAGTGGGAACCCACAGAAAAGGGTCAGAAACAACCAGACAAGCCCGGAAGGAAAAGAGAAAAATCAAAATCAAGATAAAAGCTGTCATTGTCACCTCCCCACGGGTCTCACCCACATCTGTGTCACCCAGTCCATGACCAAAAGATAAGCGCAGTTTCTTCATGTGTCTCTAGGCTCCATACACCTCCACCAGGTCTCCTTCTGGCTCCATCCTGCTTCCTTCCTCAGTCTCCTCTGCAGCTTCTTCTCTCCCTGCTCAGCTAAACCCTCCCTTGGGTGGGGCAGGAAACCTGGAACCTCCCCCTTTCCTGGGGACCACCCTGTTACAATGCTAGCATGACATTTGGATTTCAGCAGTTTTTCCACAGTCCGGGATTTAAGTAAAACCCACAAATGTCATAAGGAATCAGAAGGTTCTATCTCAAAAGATTAAGGTGTTATTCCTGTGGAAGAAGCATCTGTAATATTTAATGAGTTTCCTTTGTTATGTCAATGGGCATGGCATGTTATGTCATCTGCTTATTGGGGTACCAGTCTTCACAGCAACTGATTATCCTCCCCTTCCCCACATTCATTTGTGTCAAAGAGGAAGTGACACATCAACAGAACAATGTATTACTGTAAATTTCTTAAAGATAGACAAGCTTTTCAAAAGGCTATTGCAAACATCTCAACAGGTGAGCTATTGACTACTTAGAAATAAATTTAATAGAAAATATTTTCATTGTTCTCAAATGATCTTCCAAGAGAGGAACATAGCAATGACCCTTATTTTGAGTTATTTTATAATAATAATAATAATAATAATAATAATAATAATAATATTAGAAATGATTTTTTTCTCCCATGGCTATATAAAGAAATGGGCTATGAGAATCTCATCCATGTGTAACCCAGGCATGGGGAAGGCATGCATCTAGGATTTATGGAAAGAAAGTAATTGCAAGGCAAACGGAACAGATGCCTTGAGGATCAGGTAATTCTCTCCTGTTTTGGTATCAGAGGTTTACTGATAATGTTCCTAGCACTCTATTATTAGAGTTACCCTGACATCCCTCTCTGTATATCCTTATTCCTTTTTTCTTTTTTTTTTAATATATTTTTATTTATTTATACAAACTGGGGTACAGGCCAGAGGCACGGGAGGGTAAGAGAATTCACCAGACACAGAGCAGGGAGCAGAACAGGCAGATTGAGTGAAATACAGTGCTAAGGGGAGCAGTGGGTGAGGCAGGAGAGGTCAGCCTCGCCATGTGGGTCAGCTCCACAGCAAGGTACTCAACCCATTACGCTACCAGGGAGGCCCTCCTTATTCCTTTTTTCATCTGCTTCTCCTCTTGCTACGAGTTCAGTGATTTACTTTCACAATTTTTTAGAGAGAAAATCTGATTTTCCACTTCTATTACATAATAACTACACTTATTAAATATTTCTATGAAAAGTAATATAGCTAAAATGTGTACACATATACACACACTAATAAGCAAAATATACCTAGCATAAGGGCCTCCCTGGTGGCACAGCAGGTTGAGCACAGTGTTGTGAAGCTGTCTGCAGCCTCTGCAGTGCGGATTGGATTCCCGGTTGGATTCCTGGCTGGCCAGGGAGAAACCCACATGGTGTGGCAGACCTCTCCTGTCTCTCCTGCTGCTCCCCTTAGCAGTGCACTTCAGTAAATCTGCCTGTTCTGCTCCCCACTGTTTCTGGTGAATTCTCTCACCCTCCCATGCCTCTGGCCTGTACCCCAGCTATTGTATAAACAAAAAAAATAAAATAAAATTTACCAAATAAAAATAAAATAAAATATACCTGGCATAAAATAGGAGCTTTACATTGGTGAGTCTCTTAAAAAATGTACATAACATCACCCCCAAAATCTGTAAAGAATCAATGAACTCTTGGGCCTCCCTAGTGGTGCAGTGGTTGAGTGCTGGGCTGCAAAAGCTGCCCACAGCCTCTGCGGTGCCGGTTCAATCCCTGGCCTCTGGCAAGGGTCCCAAATGGTGCGCAGCCTCTCCTGCCATGCCCGCTGCTCCCCTCAGCAGTGTACTTTGTCAGTCTGCCTGCTCTGCTACAAGCTCTGGCTCTCCTGAATTCTCTCACCTTCCTGAGCTTCTGACTGTACCCAGTGCTTGTATAAATAAATAAATAAATAAATAAATAAATAAATAAATAAATAAATAAATAAATAAATCTTTAAAAAAAATCAATGAACTCTTGATCTGATCTTACAAATCTGATTCTATAAAGATGGAAGTTATTTTTTTTTTTTCCTAAGAGGTACAAAAACAGTTGAAATCCTATCCACTGCAGAAATAATGAAAAGAGGAATCCAGTATCTCTGCATTGGATCTGGAGGCTGCTCTGTGCTGTGCTGTGCTGTTGTCTCACTAGACTGGAAAGATATTCACCCCTGCATACAGGGCACTCAGCTATGTAAAACTTAATCCTGGAAAAGCACAGATTGTCGCATGACAAGGCCTAAACAGGCACTTATGACACCATAAACTCCATAAACACCATAAACACCATAAACTCTAGAATACTAAGCCTTGGAATCCCAAGGATCTGTTGAATTCCTGATAAGGTCAGCTCTATTCTTTAAGATTATTAAGTACTATCCCAAGTGTTTCCTTATTTGTGGATAAATTGTACTGAATAGATTCTACCCAATGTTGGCATGAAGCTGGATTATGGAGCCTGGAAACCTCTCCATTGAAGAGTCCATAAGGATCCCATAAGAGTGGTTGAGACTTGGACTGACCAAGAGAAGGGTAGTGTCCTAAGAAAAAGTGTGCAGGTGGAAATTCTACAAATGTTCTACAAATATTAGGTAGGGAGGAGACAGTCTGTCATGGTAAATATATCTTATATGAACCTATACCTCTGAATCATATTTGGTGTATCATACCAGTATTACCTTAATCACATATAATACAAATACAAAGTAAATAATATCATCTTAAGAAATTATATTAGATTCTAGGTGAATCAAAATGGTAATAGGTCATCTATAGCAATATGGATTGATTTAGTCTTCCTATGGTGAGCTATAAGGGGTCACTAAAGATTGATGGACAGAGCATTGGTGTAAGGAAGTAGTAAGAAATTTCATCCTTCTAAAAATAAGGGTTTCTTCCTTGACTAAGCATCCAGATTTGGCCTAAAGCTAATGTGCCCAGATTTTTCAAAATAAAAATTATTTTACCTACAAACAACAGTGACGATTCCAAGATTTTCTGAAAAATGGAAAACTGAAAAAGTCAACTTGCCTAATTACTGTTCTATTATCCTCACAGTATATTTTACCATTCCTAACACACACTCTTATTCTGATAATTCCCTTAATACATTTACTTTCTTTTTCTGATAAAGTAGTAGGTTGCAGGTAGACTTATAATTATATAATTATAATATACAATTGTATAATTACAAACAATAAATGTATGATTGTTTGGCATTCCTAAAAAATCTTACTGTGTATATTTTTGATGATATGATGTATTCCATGTATGCAGTAATGTATCTGATAAGCTTAGAGTTAATTTTTATTTTATTATTAATAGGGGAACTGTTAATATGAAGAACATATTGTTAATATGAAGAATTTAAAGACTACTAAAAAATGTGAGTTCAGAGAGTTCCCCAGATTTCCTGATTTGGGAAAGAACAGGATTCCTAACCTCTGATTTTCTGAGTGTAAGTACTTGGAATATATCATGATAAAAGAAAATATCCTAAAGTAAAAGAAAAAAATCCTAAAACACAATCACAACAACTCAGCCTCTGTTTCATACTTGTGACCAAGAAACATACTAATTTCATGTTTTCAAGTTGGATTTGTCCTCCATTGATTATGATTCTAATTCTTGGAGGTTGGCTTGTCCCTGAGGAGGGGACTGTGGAATACAATGTGTGGAATTCTCATAAGATGTCCCAAGTCAACTTGCTTTAGGAGCCTTTGGTGGAACAGCAGCCCTCATACCCATTGGAGCCTCCATACCGTGGCCTCCAGAGGAAGTGACTCTGTAACTGTGGTAGCAGCAGGTACCACTTTTTCAGCTCCACATGCATGGACTCAGAAATAGCCTTGGGCAATGGCTGTAAGTAGCAGCATTTGAGTTTTACTTCAGATGGAAGCAAATGTGAATAACTTCCATATTTATCTGAAAAGCAAGAAGAAATGAGACTAGTTTCTTATATTCTCATATACCAAAAGCATTATTCTTTAATGATTGGGGTATAGAGAAAAGGAAACAGATGGAGAGTAAATGAACTTGATTTGCTACTAATCTGGCCAATGGAAGCTGTTTGATGTTTACTTGAGTCACTACAGGGAGGCCATATTTTACATCTCACAGCATAACAGAAGGCAACCCTGCTAAAATTTAGCACATAAACATTGCTGATATGCATGATAAGCCCATCTTACTGTGTCTCAAGATTCTTGGAATCCAGAAAGACAAACTCATTGGGAGTCTAAACAAACAAAGAGGTAAAGCTGTCAATGAATTTAATTGTGTAGACTATGTAATGGGAAAACAAGAAATGTAAACCAAGATTTGATAAAGTATTTGAAAGTTTTGCTGAATTATAAGGATATTGAGATTATTTATCAAACAGCCCTAATTATTATAAATATGTCTCCTTACAGTTTTACATTTATTGCGAGGATTGTCCTAAGAGTAGTAGTCTACAATTTTTTTTTTAACAAGCTGAACCATTAAGTTTTAAAAGAATATTCCATAACTATTTACATAGCTAATTATAAAATATCTAAGGGCTAATTATCCACATTGTAGGAGGCTTCTTTCTTCTTTCCCTTCTTAAATACGCATTGTTTACAAACTGATTAAAAGATGAGCAATACAATGTAGAAACCATAGAATGATGGTTCTGAAACTACAGCTTTCATCAAGCCACTTAAGATGTTATTAATAGTGCCTAGTCACACTTTCCCTGCTCCTTCTCATGCTCTAATACCTGTAGAGATAAGCCACTGTAGACCTGGGAAAAGACTAAGGTTTCTGTTTTTTTTATGTGAGATTTACTTATTTATATATTTATTTATTACTGTAAGGTCTGTATTTTAAATAAAAACTACTAGTACATTATGATACAGGTGTTCCCAGGAACATCTTTGGAAGTAAATAGCAAGGAACTTTCAATAATTATTCTATAAAATTCAGTGGAAAACTGGATATAGAATTACTCTTCCTTTATCTTTGTATAGAGAGAAATACACATATATCCTTATTATCTCCAAACTGATGTAGGAAAACTGAGGTGTGAAAAAGTCAATGGTTATTACAATGATAAAAGTTAGCTGTGTGAGCATTCAAAAAAGATAAACACATGCAATTTGCAGCAACATGGATGGCGCTGGAAGGGATCATACTCAGCGAAATAAGCCAGAAAGAAAAAGAAAAATACTGGATGGTCTCACTCATAGCAGGAATCTAGAAAACTTAAATAAGGGACCAGGAAAAAGAATAACTATAAGAAAGTAAAAATCAAAATCAACAAACAACTATGAACCAGAGACACTCTATGGGGGGTGGGGGGCAGGGAGGGGAGGGATTGGGGTCAAAATAAGGGGGTCACAATTCTATGGGAATATAATATATATATATAAATATATATTATATATATATATAAAAGCCAAAAAAAAAAGTTAGCTGTGTGAGCAGAATAGCATTATAGTCTGCTCTTCCTGGAATCTGCAAACCTTACACAACACACATTTTGTAGACAATAATATGACAACCTTGTGTAAATCATCTTTTTATTGGTTAGTTACAGTGAAGCACTTTCAGTGCTGCTCAAACATCAAGTAGAAATACATTCTCAATAAAAATAACAACTCCATTTTTCCTACCTTGATGTCTATAGCTCCTTGTTCCAGAGTATTACACAGTGAGAGTTTATTCATTTTCTCTACTACAAACTAGCAGATTTGCTTAAGAAAGCAGTGCAAGCTGCTTAAACATCTTTCTACGTTCTACATGGAAGAGTAATCTTGTTGTTTCCAAAATATTGGTTACTCATTCTGTAGTTTTGATTTTTGCCTATAGATTGTAATAAATAGAAAAACAAGACTAGAGTCATTTATAGAATTTTTGTTCATGTGTTGGGTGCTCAGGTACCTGGGTGCATTCCAATAGTATCCAGATTTCTATTATGTGTGTGTGTGTGTGTGTGTGTGTGTGTATTTTAAAAGTATTTCTGGGTTCATGTTGCAAAATAAAGCACATCTCCTATAGGAAAAAAAAAAAAAAGAAAGAAGGAAGGAAGGAAGGAAGGAAGGAAGGAAGGAGAGAGAGAGAGAGAGAGAGAGAGAGAGAGAGAAGAAAAGAAAGAAAGAAAGAAAGAAAGAAAGAAAGAAAGAAAGAAAGAAAGAAAGAAAGAAAGAAAGAAAGAAAGAAAGAAAGAAAGAAAGAAAGAAAGAAAGAAAGAAAGAAAGAAAGAAAGAAAGAAAGAAAGAAAATAGAGCATGTAGCTATAAGCAGAGAATGGTGAGCATGAAGCAACAGTAAAAAGCAAGATTGCCCTGAGAAGACTTTCCTTTATTAGAGATTTGTTTCCAAAATTCAACCTTCCGCAGATTTCAAGGTGGAAAGTCTAAACCTTTGAAAAAGTCTATGATTAGAATTTAGGTTGTTCCAGGATGATAACATTGTCTGCCTTCCAGCAGAACCAAGTAAAAATAACAAGCACAATTAGACCTCAAAATTTTTACAGATTATACTCAATTCACACAATAAAAGAAGACACTGTAATTTAGGCCTCCAGAAATCATAAACAATGTACATTAATCTTCAAAAATCTTCTGAAGTATCACATGAAAAATATGAAATTATGATAATAATAAGTATTTTTATAATGATAAAATGAAGTTTTGCAATCATGAGAGCAAATGATTTTTTTTAAGATTTATTTATTTATGTATACATGAACTGGGGTAAGGCCAGAGGTGTGGGGGGTGAGAGGATTCACCAGAGTCAGAGTGGGGAACAGAACAGACATATTGACTAAATACACTGCTGAGGGGAGCAGCAGGTGAGGCAGGAGAGGTCTGCTGTGCTATTTTGAGTAGTTCCCTGGCCAGGGATTGAACTCGTGCTGCCGTGGCTGCAGATATCTCCATAGGTTGAGTTTTAACCCCTTGCACCACCAGGGAGGCAATGAAACATAAATGGAAATTAATAGCAAATTAAACATAGCTGGAGAGAATTAGAAAATTGCAAGAGAACATTTACTTCAGCAGCACATACACTAAAGTTGGAATGCTAGAGAGAAGATAACATGGCCCCTGCAAAGATGACATGCACATTTTTGAAGTGTTTCATATTTTTGAAGAATGAGTTAGTGTACTTGAAACTGTTCCAATAAACTGGTAGAAAAGGAAAAAGAAAAATGAAGTTAACAAGAAAAACAGGTACTCCCTCAACAAATTTACAAATCTTGAAATCATACCTACCATCATCTCAGGCCATAGAGGTATCTAACTAGAAATTAACTATGAAAAGAAAAGAGGAACTTCCTTTATTACATGGATACTGAATAACATACTACTAATAGGCTACTGGGTAAAAATAAATAAATAAATAAATATCTCAAGAGAAATGATGCTATGGACATAACTTTACAAAATATATGGGATGCAGTAAAAGCAGTACTAAGAGGAATGTACATAGTAATACAGGCCTAAATCAAGAGACAAGAAAGAATTCAAATAAATAGCCTTTTTCCTCTTCTCACAGAATTAGAAAAAGAACAAACAAATCCCAAAGCCAACAGAATAAAAAAATAATAAATATTAAAGCAAATAAACACAATAGAAATAAGAAAGTCCAACAATCAATGAAACCAAAAGCTGGTTCTTCCACACATAAACAAAATAGATACACTGATAGGTAGACTCACTTAAGAAAATAAAGGATAAATATCAAATAGAATCAAATACTGAAGAGGAGAAATTACAACAAATGCTGCCAAAATTCAGTGGATAATTAGAGACTACCATTAGCATTTATATGCTATCAAATTTAATATCCTAGATGAGAAAGAAAAATTATTAGAATTATATAATTATCTGCAACTGAGTAAGGAGAAAAAGAAATCCTGAGCAAAAAAATCACAAAGAACAAAATTGAAACAGTAATCATAACTATTCCAAAAAGTAAGAGTCCAGAACCAGATGGCTTCACAAGTGAATTCTACCAAACTTTCAAAGATAAACTAACTCTTATTTTGTTCAAACTCTTCCAAAACTTTGAAAAAATAACACTTCCAAACATATTTTACAAGGCCTATTGTAAACAACTCACAAAATGATAATTACAGGTTAATTTCCCAGATGAGCAAACATGGAACAAAAATCCTCAATAAAATCTTAGCAAAACAAATCCTACGATGCATTAAAAGGAACATATACCATAACCAAGTGGGATTCATAACAACGATACAGAAAAACATATGAAAATCAATCAACATAATTCACAATATCAAAAAAAGATAAAACACCACATGATCATATCAATAGATACTGAGAAAGTATTTGATAAAATCCAACATCCATTTATGATGAAAACCCTTGGAAAAATTGTGATAAATGAAGCATAACATAATAAAAGTCATTTATAACAAAGACACAGCTAATATCATTCTCAATGGTGAAAAACTGAAAGTTTTTCCAC